TTTTTACATATAAAGTTTAGTGTCCTAGTTATGATATTGTTTCTTTACCGACTCAGTGTTTAATGTTTCATTTATAATCTTATTTTTTTAACCGACACAGAGTTTAAAGTCCCCTTTATAATGCTAATTCTTTATCAATAAAGAAGTTAATATTCTAACTATAATATCATTTCTAGGTTTTGGTGTTTCAGTTATGATCGTTTTGTTTCAACAACGTAACATTAAGCGTCTAAATTATAACCTTAATTCTTTACCAATATAACGGTATAGTGTCCCAGTTGTGATCTTATTTCTTCAACAACATTGATCCAAGGATCGCTTCAGTTATGATTTCATTTCTTACAAATAAAAAAGGCTTGTCGAATCTGCTTGCTAATCTAATCTAACAAAAGGTTTACTGAATTTTCTTACTAACTTCACCGAACAATAGGCTTACCGAATCTGCTTGCTAAGCTCACCTAACAAAATGCTTATCTAATAAAAGGATTGCTTAATCTACTTGTTAACCTCCAGTTTTGAGTCTTACTAAGTTTTGTGTCAGCTGGAATAAACCGGATGACAAGAGAGGAGAAAGTGAATCTGTTATAGACCGGATGATAAGATAGGAAGACGGTGGTGAGTGGTGATATTACAAGATGGGTTCATTAATAAAAAAGAAACGTTATAATTCTATATTAATTCTATGAAACTATATAGATACAAAGTAACTTTGTCGTGACCATTTCAGAACTCTGGCCTGCATGAATGAACAAGTTCTTAGACAATTAAGAAAATGGATCAAAATGACGTTGTTTGTTATACGTTAGTTTGTTATAATAATCTATGAAATTTTAGTTTGAGAGAGTTTATTTGCGTATATTCATCTAGAAAATACAAAAAAACATTGATTAAATTTAGAAGACATATCTAAAATTAAAAAATAGAAAGCACTCACGCTAGTTATCAATTTCAGAAAAAGGGTTGTTAAGCTATACCAGGAAATTATGAATTTCCGAAAAAGATTTGTTAGATTATACCAGGAAATCATTAATTTCAGAAAAGGGGCTGTTAGGCTATACCAGGATGTTACTAATTTTAGAAAAGAGGTTGTTAAGCTATACCAGGAAATTATCAATTTCAAAAAACGGGTTGTTGGACTACACCATCAAGTTACCAATTTCAGAAAAGGGGTTGTTAGGCTTTACCAGGAAATTATTAATTTCAAAAAAGGGGTTATTAGGCTATACCAGGAAATGATTAATTTCAGAAAAAGGGTTGTTAGGCTATACCAGGATATTATTAATTTTAGAAAAGAGACTGTTAAGCTATACCAGGAAATTATCAATTTCAAAAAACGGGTCGTTAGACTACACCATGAAGTTACCAATTTCAAAAAAGGGGTTGTTAGGCTATACTAGGAAATTATTAATTTCAAAAAAGGGGTTATTAAGCTATACCAGAAAATTGTTAATTTCAGAAAAAGGGTTGCTAGGCTATACCAGGAAGTTATTAATTTCAGAAAAAGGGTTGTTAGGCTATACCAGGAAATTATCAATTTCAGAAAAAGGATTTTTACACTATATTAGAGAAAGAGTTATTAGGAAAACTAAACAGCTTGGTGGACATAGATTGAAAGAAATATACAGATTTCAGGAAGTCTGTAACAAAGGTTTTGTCGGGATCTTTGTTTCTTAATCATCTCTGTTAGAAAAAAATAAAAATAAACAGACTTTAGCTAGATATCGTAGGACCACTTCATTCGAAATTATTATATAACTTACAGGTTCTCGGTTTATAAAAATAATGTTATAGCAAACCGAACACAATGAACAAACTATTTGGAATACTTGTGCAAAATCAAGTGAAAACTTTGTATGCTACTCATATATGTATTAGTACAATTTTGTAGACTTCCTTTCTTATCCAGCTTGAAACTTTACCTTTTTGTGCAGTCCTTTCTTTCTTCTGGTTATTAAAAGCATGTCGTCGAATAAGACCACATACATTTCTGTTGGTTTTCCACTATCTGAAAATAATAAGACCACATTCATCTCTGTTGGTTTTCCACTATCTGAAAGTAATAAGACCACATTCATCTCTGTTGGTTTTCCACTATCTGAAAATAATAACCACATACATTTCTGTTGGTTTTCCACTATCTGAAAGT